TTTACTACAGTTTACTTGTATTTTAACAAATGTAAACTGTATTCTAGGAATCACTGACAGAAAGTTGTAATAAAAATAATTATCTTTGTGTTTTCCCAAACTTTAGCTTTTCTCATTTTCGTGCTTGTTGTTCAGCTGCCATACTTCATGTGCATGGTGTCACCTCTTAACCATGTAAAATAACACACAAGCAGAGTATGTTACTAAAACTGGACATTGCAAACTTCATGACAGCATAATTTCTAACAGAGTGTAACTTCAGAATATGCAGAAGTCATTTCTACTTCATGGAATAATCTGACAAGCCAGACATGTCTGTTTGATTAGAACAGTTTCTCTGACTGCCCCAAATAAACCAAAGAGTTCATGAAAACTCTGAAATCCAAACATCAGTCTTTTTTTTATCCTGGTGTAACTCTGAGAGCATGTGATGCTTTCGACAGAAGCAACAAAAACTAACAACCAAATAGGAAAACCTTAAACTTAAAAAGGAATTCAACCCTGTACCAAAATTCCAAGGACAACACTCCAGCTCCCACAAGACTCAGCCCACACAGCTGATAAGTTACACACCCATGCACATCCATCAAGCTAACGCTGCTCTAAGACACTTTAAATATATCGTAGATTGTTGGATTGAATGATGAACTGTTGACTGGAAATAGTTTTGGTGCAGGGTGCAGTGGGAAACGTCTGAAAGGTCAAACTGAAAGTTTTATGATTTATTTTACATTTTCAAAACATTACTTTTAGTTTTTATATTTCAATGGATGATGAGGTTTGGAACAAAAGAAATGAACGTGTTTATAGTGGAAACTAGATAAAAAAGGAGGGGGGGCTCTGTTAGCTAACAGTCAGCTGGCTGACCTCTGGCTGACCTCTGGCTAACCTCTGGCTAACCTCTGGTTTTCTGTATATACCCATTTATTGCACACAAGCCATCTGTTCCTCATTTTGATCTATATTTGGGGTAGAGTCATCTGTCTTCTTATTATTCAGTAAAAGTAACTGAAATGTTATTTATAGAGCACCTTTCAATAAATATTACAAACTTTTTAAAAACCAAACTGCTTAAACATAATGCAAGTTTTTAGCTTTTACCTCTGAGTCCACAGTTTTTAAGCTGTGTGGGAGAGAGTGATGGTATCCACAGCAACAATGAGCTCATTAAGTATCACAAACAAATCAATATTGCATAATATTACCACTATACATTTTTAATGCATAGTGGTAATATGACATTGCTCGACTTTGTGTGTTGTAATGCTTCAAAGCTGGAAGCACAGTTTGGATCCAAACAGTTTTAAGTGTAAGAAAGTCTTGATGCTATAGCAGTTTTAAAATGGTGATAAAGTGGGTGAGGAGGGAACAATCGGGTAGGTCAGGGGTCAGTGCACAGGTAGGTGACAAAGGTCAACTGGAAAGTAGCAGATCACTGAGACATGCACATCCCGAGCTAAAAGGTTTATTTACAGAGGAAAAGAAATGAAACAATACTGGGTCAGCAAAGCCAGCTGACTCGAGCATCTATGGAGAGGTGGTGGCTGAGCCAGCGCAGACCAGCAGGGGGGCTAGATCCAGCTAAGACTGGTTTAGGTGGTGAGATGACACATTGGTGAAGAAGATGGTGGTCTGGACTGTGGACCGCCTGAAGAGCCGGTCGGTGAGCTGAAACAGACAAGATGACCTCCAATGAACACTTTTACTACTAAATAGTACAGATAGTAAGAGAGATCGTTTCAATCCAGGTCTGCTGAAGTGAAAGAAGCACTCTGATCTCTTTCTTCTTCTCATTCAATGATAATCTTTGGGGTAAAGAGGTGATCAGACAATCATTTCCTTGGAATCTTTAAATCAATGACCATAAAATATTTAATGGCCATAATGAAAATAAAATAGGAATTCCCAAAATACGGCCACACTATTTTTGGTACAGCAGTTCAGTACTCTACCTTTTTCACTATAAGGCTAGCTAGTCACGCTAGCTCAGCTAAACTCACCAAGAAACAGTTCCAGCAGTTATTCCTGACATACACTTTCCCAAATCTCCTCTCTCTCTCTCTCTCTCTATCTCTCTCTCTCTCTCTCTCGTCTCTCTCTAATCTTATATATATATATAATATATTATATATACTATATATATTATATATATATATATAGTATATAGATATAAAGGTACATGAAAATGCTTTCTTAATCACTTATTTACACTTTATAAATGATCTGTTTTATATATGATCTGCTTTTTAATCCAGAATAAACAATTATTTTCCAGATTTTCACTACGGCCGTCTTCCTCTCCTTGTCCACCACTACTATGTCTGGTTTGTTAGCCATCCCACAGGATCTTAGCTCGGTCATTCATACCCCAGGACGTATCTGAGCTTGTGACTTCCAGGCCATGCTCTGCACAAATGTTCCTGTATATTATGCCAGCAACCTGGTTATAGCATTCTATGCACTGCCTGCTAGCATCCTGCATCTACTGTTATGTACAGTAGAGGCATCAGAGGTATCCTTATATGGATAAGTGGCAGAGAATGGATGGATGGATGGTGAGTGTATGACTTTAAAAAAGCCTTTCCTACCAGTTTACTTAGCATTGCAAAAGGATATTTTATCCCTCCTTTCTCTCCCTCCATGCTTCTGTTACTCAGACTGCAGGAGCTCTGTGCACATAAACAAAGGCCAGCTAATACCTGGAGCTCTCTTATCTCTCTACTGCATCACCAGTCAGGGTGTCCTACACTGCCCCCATCAGAGCAACACCTGCAACGTCTCTTCTTGATGCTGGCAGTGATAGTGGTGTTGCATTATATAGCGTTACATAATGTGTATGATGCTGGTGTAATCCTAATAGAGAAGTAGCTTGGTGTGCTTTGCCTTGTACCATAGATACGTGTGTGTCAGTGTCAGTGAGGAACAAAGGCACCAAAGAAAATCGAATTCATTTTAATAACTAAATTCTGTAATGACTTTGAATGAGGAGTGTGTGTGTGTGTGTGTGTGTGTGTGTGTGTGTGTGTGGGGGTAGAGGAGGGGAGAGGATCTTTCTTTATGGACATCTCTCTGTCTCCACAGTGACTTGTCACCAAGGAGACAGAGCTGTTGGCAAGGCAACCAAGGGTGACGCCTATGATGAGGTGTGACAGCATAAGTATTTTTAGCCCGTCAGCTAGGTGTTCACAAATGTGAGTTCAGACACTTCAAAGGATGGATGGGAGGTAGGATGATGAGAAAGAAAGCTGGTTTAAATAAGAGCTAAATGCTGTGTCATGGTCAGTGGTTCTCATGTAGTGCTGATGTCACAGACCAGAATGACCACCAATCGTTATAGCAGGCCGTGGTTAAACATGACTAACTGGACCGATGAAGTATTATTCTCACAGTACAGTAGTGAGGCCACAGTGCGTGAGTATCAGCAGGTATATATTCACTCGTTTCATTTCACTTTCTTTAATAATACTCTGAAGATTTAGATGAACAAAATGCAGTTTAAAAAAGTCACGTGATGTTAACACTTGATATTTATTTAAACCCCAGATATAATTAAGACATCAGGAAGGGGGCTAAATACCTTCCCGCAGCACTGCAGATATGGATCAGACGTGTTTTGATTTTATTTTTAAAGCTGATGTGGTACTTTATTTACTTTATTTAGTTTATTTAGTTTATCTAGTTTATTTAGTTTATCTAGTTTAACCCTTTTTCAATTATTCAAACTATCACAAAAAATTACAAAAGCAATCAAATCTGTGCATGAATGTTTAAAATCCCAAATTCTTTAGTTTCCAGTGATAGAGAATGAAAAGAGACTTTTGCTGTTATTAAACTGCTGTTCTTGGCTTATGTACATCAGAGTCCTGACACAGATGTAACGCTGTGTGGATTTAAGTTTTTGGAACATCTTAGTGCCGTGCTGTGCCAGTGCAGAACATTCAGTCAGCGGGCTGGTTGGGAGCAGTAAGTAGATTTACATTCGTTTTTAACAGAAGCAGTAACTCAGTGGAACATAAGGACAGTAAAATGAAAAATCGGTTTGAGGGGATCATGTTTGCTGCCCCAGGATGCAACAGTGATGTTTTATGTTAAGGAATCAAGTTTTGAAAAAAGGAACTCTGAGAAAGAGACGGCAGACTTTTTGGAGACCTGATTTTGACTGACTGGTTTCCTTCATATTAAGTGAGGAATAGAGGTGAAGCCCAAATGTAAGTGAAGAAGAGTGTGAGGTTGTCAGGGTTGCCGACTGCATTTCAGTAAGTAATGCAGGTATGTTTGTGCTGTGATGTAGTAACCTGTTACGTTGTGAACTTTTTGGCAAAAGAGAGAATGATTAGCGGATGAAATATCCCTGATTGCATCTTGTGAACAACTTTGCCAGCTGATTGTGCAGCCGGCAGCCGGCGTGTGTTGGACTTACTGAGTATTCTGTCTCGTGCGTGCGTGGCTCTACACGAATTGACAGACAGCTAAACATATGCAGTAGGCAATGAAAGCGTTGAATGATGACTCAGACATGGAAGCAAAGTAAAGGATTGTTTACTGGTTTGTCTTCACTGGTGGACATTCTTCTTTTCCAGAATCTGTGAAAGGACACAGCTTGTCCTTCTCACAGGTGGATGTTGAAGGATTAAACAGAGAGACTAATGGTACACCTCATTGTGCAATTCCTAATACTAAAATGGTTCCTGTATTACCCTGCTCATGTGACCCTAAACATCCAACAGGAAGGAATGCGAGTAAAGCCACAGCACATTCACCTGACCGCAGTTTCCATGCAAACCACTAGGAGGTGCTAAAATACTTAACTCTCACATAACATTACACTGGGCTGCTTAACCTATGAAATGTCTGCCTGTCATCTGTGCATTATTTTATATTTTAGTGTTTAGAAAACTGGCATAAAAATACAAAGATATACTTGATTATAAATCTAATGTAATCAAATTACAAACACATGTGAAGATATCTGTTTCCTTTTCTTTCTTTTCCTGACTCAGCTGCAGTCGCTCCTGATGGCACATTTGAAAAGTCAGCGTTTGGGGATGACCTGAGCAGTGAAGAGGACCTCCTCTATGATGAATTTCGAGGATCTGGACATCGTTATGGACACCCAGGAGGAGGCGGAGGAGAGCAACTTGCCATCAATGAGGTAAGCAACATGGAACTTTAATCTCTAGCACCATCTTGTGACCACCAAGGTCAGAAGAATTATATATCTACTCTCAATTGATCTGTGTGAAAGATAGATGTCCTTGACCAAATGTAGGGTGGGGTTGATACCAAACTAAAAACAAAAAGAGTTCATCCTCGGCCGAGGACTACAGTTTGACATAAACCTGACCCTGGAGTAGTAAGAGTCATGTCAGCAGGGGGATCGCCTGCCAAGTCAGAGAGTGTTAGGAAAAAGAAAACACTTACGTTTCTTTTCATTTATTGAATGTTAGGGTCCATAAAAGTTATGAACTCAACCAACTTGGAGGGAAAACAGATGTAAAAAGATATTTGACATAAAAGCTTACATGAGTCCTGATTTTGAGTTGTGCATACACATCCACAAATAAAGTTTTTCACTATTTCACTCCAGAAATTCTACATGCAGCTGTGAGTGATTGCTTTGACAACTGTGATACAAAACCAGGGTGTAAGTGAACCGGATACTATATTTATCTAATCTGTTGTCTGTTATATTTATCTTATCGCCTCTGTCAGTGCGCCCCAGGGCAGCTGTGGCTACAATGTAGCTGCCATCACCAGTGTGTGAATGGGTGAATGACTGTATGTAGTGTAAGGCACTTTGGGGTCCATAGGGACTAAGTAAAGCGTTATACAAATACAGGCCATTTAATACAGCTTTTCACTCAGCCAACCAAGCAAAAAGCCAAAATCTACTAATTGATGAAAAATCCACACACGCGTCTTCATATAATTTATGTGTGCAGCACAAAGAAGCAAAATAATAACCCCCCCCCCCCAAAAAAAGGCAAACCCCTATGTGCAAGCACTTGGTGACATTGGGAAGGAAAAACTCCCTTTCAACAGGAAGAAGTCTCTGGCAGATTCAGGCTCAGGGAGGGGCGGGGCCATCTGCTGCAACTAGCTATTGATAAGGGGAGGGCAGGAAGTGAGGAGGGGAGAAAGAGAGCCAGAGATAAAGAAAAAAAAACTTGAAAAATGCAATTTCGTGTGTGATGACAGAGTGAAGGTGTGTAAAGAAGAAACAAGGCCAGCAGCCTTGGCCTGTTGTAGCCTCACTAAGCTCTCTAAACTCTGTAAACTGTTTCTTCCTGGTTATAGGTTTAATCCCATACATTATACGAGGTTCTTTTGTTGTATATCACAGTCCCTGTTGATTGTTTATTAAACCCTTTTGTGTTCCCATTCTATTCCATGTTTATTTTTCATATTCTGTCTCTCCATCAAGGACACATGTGATCAGTTTGTCATTTTGCTACTTCCTGTTTTATTTTGGTGGTCTTTAGTCTGAGTGTGTATACATCATCTCAATCTTCTCTTGCTCTTTGTTGCATTCGTCCTTCTAGCTGTGTCCCTCTTAGTCATTTTGGGTGTTGTTAATTTCGGTTCTTTTGGATTCTTCAGGGCCAAGAAAGACACAAGGCTCAAAGTGGTCAAACTCAAAAAATGATCTTTAATTTACATTCCCAGGAACGGAGACCTGAACACACGAACACACAAGCTCAGGTCTGAAGCACAAACAGAAGCCTAGTTATTTATATACTTGCTCTCACGTCACACCACACTTTAAGTTTCGATCAAGCAGCCTAGTTGGTTTCACTTTCACTTCATTCTAGCTGCAAAAGCACGCTTCTGCAAAAGCATGCAGTTTCCTGTCAGCACTTTTTGGCACAGAGTGTACTCAGAGTTAGGCCTTTCTCATATGAAGCAATATAATCAGCATATAAACATTTAAGATGATAAATTTAAACCTCAACACTGTGCTCCTAACTGCTATATTTGTCCTCCTAAACCTGCATGTTGGGTCCAGTTTTTGTTGCACAGCAGTCCTACTAATTTGTTTAATATGTGCATTCAAGGACATATCCTGATCCAAGGTTCCTCACAGCGTTACTGGAGGCCAAGGTAATGCCATCTAGAGTAAGAATCTGGTTAGGCATCATGTTTATAAGATTATTAGGGCTGAGTACAATAACCTCAGCTTGATCTGAATTAAGAAGCAGAAAGTTAGCGGCCATCCAGGTCTTTATGTCTTTAAGACATTCCTGCAGTTTAACTCATTGGTGTGTGTTATCT